TTTTCTTAAATCAAGAAATTATAATATATGTAATAAAATTATAATATATCGCTCCCTTTAAAAATAACAACTAAAGAAATTAAATTTCTACAGAAAAGCGGGAAAACTATTTTTAACAGAAAATTATTGTTTAATTAAATAATATTGGCAAAAATATACTTTAGAAACAATCAAATGCTATAATCTCTCATTTTTGTTTCACAATAAAACACTACCTTTAAATTATGACAATTTTGATACTCTAAAAAATTATAACAAATTTGAATAATTAATAAAAAAAATGAATTTTTGAAATATCGCTAACAGTTCATGTTTACTTTGATCAGTTAAAAGACAAAATTTAAAATAAAATCATTTCTTCTTCAAACTTTGATCACAAAAACAGTCATAATTCAAAATATTTTCTATAAAAAAATTTCTTTTTATTTATAAAAACAACGCAGTTCAAAATATCTCTTGTAGAAAATATTATAATCTCTTTAGAAATCTTAAGAACAACACAAATATTATTTGACGGAACTGTAAAGTTAAGTTAATTTACTTTTGATGATTGATAGAGTAATCTTTAATTTAATTTATTCATATTTTTGGTAACTTGAACATTTTTATAGTTAGGTCACTTAAAGTAGGGAACAATGTATGTATGTGTGTCACACACACACACACACACACACACACACACACACACACACACACACACACACACACACACACACACACACACACAGAGGATTTGCGAACTGATGGCATAATTGGGAAGAGAGGACGTAAAAGTTTGTTTTACATGAGATTTTGTTTTTTACGAAAATGATTTTTAGTATTCGTCGAGTGTGTGGATTTCATTGATTTAAATGAAATTATAGAATTACCAGAACACGTTAGAAAGCATTTATAAAAATTTACTTTAAAGAACAAAAATTTCATATATTCAACAGAATGGGCAACATTTTCAACAATTTATAAAGATTTATCATGCGTATATCACGTGAATATCCTATTTTTATTGAGTATCTTCGATTATCTAGTACAATAATAAACACAAACGTGAGCAGAGATAATAGTCTATAGTAAGATCCATTAAATCGAGAAATAATTAAGTGCGCACGTATTCGGTGAATATTTAAAATCGATTTTCTCGAAAACAAAGCCTCATATTAAAAATATTCATTCTACGATTTCGATTTATTTTTCATGTAGACTCATCCCCTTCCCGGTATTATCACTTCACGAACACCCTACGTATAATATATAAAATCTTTTACTCGATATTCTTTTAAATCATATGACTCGGAAATTCATTTATATCGAAATTTAATGCCTCTTTTCGAAGTGAAATCAGCAGAACCATGCGCGTAGCGTAGCCTTTGTAAATTCAACATTTTTCTTTGACGTCTCCGCTCGCTATTTTATACGGGATAAAGCTGTAGTTAAGCGGATTTTGTGGAACAAAGAAACATACGGATTTTTACAGCTAAGTGAGATGTTAGTCGGATCCCATATGGACATGGGCGACGGGCTGTGAGTTTCGTTCCTCTTAAACGAGATGATGAGATCTCGATGCGTACCGTGTGTTTTGGATGAGGTTTTAAGTGAGAACCGTGCCGCATAGATATTAAGTATAATTTAACAGATTGCCCTTCTACGGACGCACCTTTCGACCGACATAGAGGCGGAGAAGGGCACACCGAAGAAGGAAGAAATAGTTATAAGGAACGCGTCGAGGTTGTAAGATTGTATGCGAGTCTCGATTATATACGGGGATACTCCGCCGCTGTCGTGTCTTTCGGCGGAAGGAAACACTGAATAATAAGAATGAGACAGCTCGGTAATTACGGCGCTATTTTGGGGCTTTGCGTGCAATATGGTTGAACGATGCCTCTCTCAGCCGCCGACACGTATTAGACGATAATTGTGGCGATTATTTCGTAAGCGTGAAAGTTTATAACGATAATATATCGTTATTTGTCACGAGTATTCTCGCCATAAAATTTATGTATAAAATTAGATCTTCCGCGTGCAACGTAACTTATCGATTTTCGATATTTTTGTTTATCTTATATATTGAAAGTAATTTGAGTTTGTGTACTTGTGCCGTGTGTTTTCCCACGAGAGTGAGGATGAAAGAATGACTATGAAAATGAAAAGGCGAGAAGTCCGTACAGAATCGCGAGACGTCGTGGAGCAACGTTCGACTAGGGGACACGGATTTTGTTGATCCTCGTGGCGACAAATATTTTCGATTCGTTCGTACGAAAAAGGGATCCTTCGAGTCGATTCGCGCGACCCGGGTGCAACGAGGCGCGGGGGAGCTTCAAAGGCGCGCGCGAAGCGCCTCCGCGGAATAAGAGGATAATATGGGCTCGATTTGACGTCTTTGAATATTTAATATCACCCAGTGAAACCGTCTCATCACTCGCGTCTTACGACTGTTCAGACGCTTGCCACTATTGAAGTAGAACTAATGGAGGACCGCGTAACACCGAGTTGCATAACTGATCGTTTTCTAATGTAAAGGCATGATTTTTCATTATGAAAATAGAATATCTTATCGGCTCTATTCCGAGAGAAGATACCTTCTCTTCTTATGTCACCATATTAGACATACGCCAGTCTTTGTCGAATTTTGTTACTTTTAGACGAGCGGAATGTGCAATTCCAATGTCACAAGAGAACAGACATTTATCACATAACTCACGTTCTATAGAATTTTCCATAAAACGCATCGGACATCTCGCGGTTGCTTTAGCGTATTCACCGTGGAACAGTTCTTACCTTCGAGTGTTTCGCGACAGACGCGATTTTTCGACGACACATGCGCGCCTGCTCGTGTCGTGTGCACACCGACGCTCTGTCTCTCAAACGTTGGTGGACGGTAACCGGCGAAATGCAGTTTACGGTTTTGTTTTTCCGCCGATTTGCCCACTCCTCGCCGCTCTTTTACGCGTCCTGAAAAGGCGGCGGCGCCTTCAGATGAACTTGCGGCAAAGTATAAGGGCAACCGTAAGAAGCGGCACAACGACAAGAGAGGACGACCGAGTAGCCTCATGCAATTCTAAACTATTTCAATGAAATGGAATAGAGCGGCCAGTAGATTTGTTGGTCGCAGCACCCGATCGACCCTCTCGTATCGCAAGAGATGAAGAGAGAGAGAGAGAATGCTAAGAAAAGCCGTGGTTTCTACTATGGCTCTTCCCCCCCCCCCGTCCCTTCCCCCCAACCGGTTTTCTCTTTGTTCTAAAATTCTTACGACTTCCCTTACCGCCGCGCCATAGACTGCACCTTCACTATAGCCTCGTCCCGTAAGCAACAAAGGAAAGTGGCCTGTACTCACTAAAGTCGTAATACCCGGTACCCGCTGCGTCTATGGAGGGGTACAAAATTGTCTCCCCTTCCGCATTACCAAGAGACACTTTGTATTGTGGCCTGGATGCTGCGCAACTTTCTTTGCAGCTCAGCCTGGGCTCAGCTAACTTCGCAGGATTTTCGCATTAGCATATCGACTTATTCATATACTCCGCTTGACTTCGTTCTTGCAGCATCCTTCGGGCTTGCATCGGTACGCATGATGTAGCGAACGTTGGTGGTGTAGAACGTGTATCTCGACCCCTCAGACATTCTTTACGTCATGTCTATGTGAATTGATTTTGTAACGCGAATGGCGGAGCGATGCGGTACGGCTGCAAAGTGAATTTTGACTATGCGGCGTGATTATTTTTTTCCAGTTTTCGTTTAGTTCGAGACAGGAAATGACATTTAACACTTGTTTGCCGTACACATTTCATAATGGAAGATTTGATATTGAAAATAGATGATATGCCAAAGGAAAAACGATAATTTGACTCGCATAATCACATTTAGCGTTCTTCGTCTCGTTCACTTCGTATAAATAATATGAATAGTCACCTAGAATAACAAGATTTCGCTTTCGCATTGTAATTACATTTGCATACACTCAGTAGACCGCTAACGGAATTTTCGCTAACCAAATGATTTAGTCGGCATAATCATGTTAACCGTTTTACTTCAATTAGCGTTCGTTTGCGTCAACTATCAAACCGAAATGCATTATCGAAATGTATATATATATAGACTTAATTATTAATTTTTTTATTTTTAAGTTTTATATAAATACAATCTTTTTACATGTTTTCAATTTTCTATCATAAATTTCTATTGCTTTAAATATTTATTACATTTTTATTTAGCAAAGTGAATTTATCTGTAACACTTGTAGAATCTGAGATTAAGAAAATAAGTAGAAACGTCTTGAAGTTAATTTATCAAGGTTTTTTTATTCATCTTCAATATATCTTTAAAATATTTATCTCAGAGAAATAGCATAAATTAATAATAATTAATTTTGCCATTTCGGATATATGGACTAATAGTTTTATATCGCATTTTCTTTTATACAGAATGTTACGATTCTAATATATTTTTTTATTAATATATTCTGCATTCATTGATAAGCGGAGCAAAGAGTTCGATAATCGCGAGAGAAACCCGCCGGAAGATTTGCCATGAATCGAAGGAGCTTATCGGCTTTGTCGGAAGGTACGGCAAGTAAGACGGTGCGTTTCGTTTGACGTTCTGGAAAAAAAAAAAAATGAAAGAAAGAAAAAAGGGCAGAGCTTCTTCATAATTCAGACAGTGCCGCCACGAAAGTGCCGTAAAGTCCGACTTGGAGCATCTTTCTTCCGCCGGGTCCTGCTCTGTCGCGCGGCCTAAAAATTTTTCATAGTCGCCATAAAAGAGCGGGGTGGCACGCCAGGGTTACGAGAAATATCGAGGGCTGACGCTTTTCTCGCCTCTTCGCGGCGAGAGCGAGTACATAACGCGGATTGTGAGGAGAACGGCCGGCGGCCGTGGATGGATCATAGGAGTCGTGCAGAGCACGACTTTGGAGCAGCTTTGGCCGAGTCGAGCCGACGACGACCGAGCGACGCCGAGCACAACTGAACGCGGCAACGCGCGTCAGAGGGTAACAGTCGTGCCGCGGCCTCCAATGAGGGAGGTCTATACAGTCGTCGTCGCTCAGTATATACCCAGTCCAGTCGACGAGTTTCGCGACGCGCGTCCTTTTGTCTTCGGCGATCCAGCGCTTAATTAACTGCTCGATCATGTTGTGACGGATGTACGGACGTGTATCGCCAACGGACGCGTCGCTCTCCGACACCGCGAGGATGTACGCGCGATAGAGAACGTCATCTCCGTAGACTCCGAGTTCGCAGCTCCGCCGACTCCGAGCAACAGATGTGACCATCGTACGCGTCTCGTTCTTTATATTTAGTTAACCAAGATTTTCTCAGTTGGTAACTTACAGCCGATATTCGGATACCCACAGTGTTGTGCTCCTCGTCAAGAAACGTAACAGTAAGACGACAATTGGAACGCATGAGGAATGCTTACTATTGACTTGGAATAAGAACCATTTAAATGGCCAACTCGTAGATAATATTAGATATGCTTACAGGAAAATAAAATAAATCTTGTTGAAAAAAAACCTATATTTGCATCATCAACGATAATCGTTCATCGTTCTAAAGACTTACCTGCGACTTAAGGGCAGCGAATTGTATACGGGGAGTAAAAAGCGTAGGACAGAGAATTCCTTTGTCCTTTGAAGCAGTGCGGAAGAGAAAGAAAGAGCGAGGAGAGTAGCTGAAAGAGAAGAGGAGAGAAAGAGAGAGAGAGAGAGAGAGAAAGAGTGAATTGAACGGAGCAACACGCGGTCGAGTTTCTATCTTGGAGTGTACCTGCCGCAGGAACAGGACAAGGACGGCGAGTGAACCGAGAAAGGGAGAAAGAGAGAGGAAGAGAGACGCTTTACACGCCGGTGAACGGTCGTCGTTGCCAGCGGCAAAGGGCAACAACCACGCTGTGGCCGGAGTTTCTACCTCCTTCTACTCAAGGCCAGGGCATCGCGGCCCACGAAGTCCCCTTTGTAAGCTTCGTCAGGATCCGGATAAGACGTGCCAGAGTGACGGCTGTCGTGCGCGAAATGCTCCGAAATTGGCGAAGGTAGAACAGAGATCGCGTGAGGATCGTATCTCGGCAGATCTCGAGAGAAAGAAAGGAGGGGAACGTGAAGGATAGTGAAAAGTGTTTTTTATCTCTCCTGTGACCATGCAGAGGCAGAGGCTACTACCGGACGCCATGACAACGATGGTTAGGGCAGCTGTTCTCGCAGCTGTCCTGGGACAACTTTTGGGTCCCAGCGTGGCCAGCAGGCCCGCCGGTGCCCATCCTGGACACGCATATTTCGAGCAACCGTGCTGCGGTCGTTCTCACCTCAGGCATCATAAAGGTCAGATATACCTAAATAACGATCCCATTATTTATGATGTGTCGTAAAACGTAAAAAGTGCGTCGTGATCACTGACCGACGATTGTTTTTTTTTTCTCAATGACCGTAGGATCGTCGTGCGATTATTGATGGATACCTACGGTTAATGAGCAGCACGAACCAATATCTCGTGAGCAATATTTGCGTGAACCAAGCCTAGCTTGTTTTAGTTACGGTAGGCCAGACTCGGGCGGAAGCGGAAACGGAAGAGCGCGGCGATAGCGGTGCCACGTGGTATCGTGACTTTTCGTTTTCTCATCGAATGTTATCGTCCGATGATAGAAGCGGGTTTTACACAATGTCTCGCGCCCACACACGTTTTAGAGGATAATACGCCACGATAGTTGTAATCCGTAGGATAAATTACGCAATGTTTGTCACGGTCAACATTGATGCTAGAGGAGATGCGTGGAGCATGAAAGTATTCTCCAAAAGTGAATCAGTGTATTATTACTGACATCAGTGCTACACTTATAACTGATGTGGTTATGATTTTTTGCGGATTCAAATCTGTGGAAACATTTTTAGAATAACTTCTAGAAATGAATCAGTGTATTATTACTGAAAACCAGTAAATATTCACTGATGATTACAGTGTTTATAAATGTGGCACTGATTTCGGTAATAATTCATTGATTCACTTTTAGAGAGTACAGTTTTACACGTTATTATGGTATTTCGAATGTAAAACAGCTAATAATCAATAATGTAAACATTTATTGAAATTTTATCCGACAACGGAGTACGTTTTATTTGCCATGTATTTTTTTTATTTATAACAATGATTGTAACACGTTTCAATCGCGACAACCGATGGCCGATTGCCGTGTGCAACTTTTATATCAGGATATTGATCGTGATTAATTTGCAATCCTCTAAATTCAATATTGTGACTTCTGGGAACGTTCCGTCGTGCCGACCAGCCATTTGCAATACAAATTGTGCGAGCGAGTAAACTCAATTGTTCGCACCTACGTTTAATGAAATACAATTAGCGTATTTGATGCAGGTAGACTTCATGCGAAATTAATCACAGAGAGAACTTTACTCATCTTTTTCAAAATCGCGAGTTCTACCGACGACATTAATTTTCTCAAGTGATTCGCAAAGTGTAAATTTTAATTATTCTTCGTTATCTCGAATTGAATTAATTAAGATATTGATCTTCTTGAAGTAAAAATTGATGGTTTACGGCTCGTTTGTCATATGTATGAAAAACACTTTCCTCCGCGATGTACACGAGGGATTAAATTCCCCGGCGTTTTTCTTGGGGGATGCTTGCTGACCTCCCTCCCCCTCCCCCAACCTCTCCCCTCTTTATCCCATCTCTTTTCTCGCTTCGTGCTAAATCGTTTAAGAGAACGGACGGTACGAGTGGAATGTAAAAACGTAAAAATGTACCCCGGGCAACGAAATGCCCGTTAGCATGCATCACCAATATTATCTCGGGAGGTGCCTGCCACGCGATATTACCGGGGCTTAGAACGCCGGGCTGACTTCATTATGGTGTGGGGGGGGGTGGGGAGAGAGAGAGAGAGAGAGAGAGAGAGAGAGAGAGAGAGAGAGAGAGGCGGCGAGCGCCACCTCGCTACAGCGCG